TGGGACACTTGGTTTCCCCCGACTCTAAGCCGGAGGCGCAAGAGGAGGACCCACCGACTATTAGTTGGGCATCACAGGTTGGCAAAACAGTTCCATATATTGGACTGAACATAAATCCTATGCGGCTTTCGACTTCATCTTTCTCTGTTTTCATCAAAGTAGGGCTCGGTATGAAGCAAGTATTCTGTCTTATATACTCCTAAAATGTCAATAATCATTTTCATTTCTAACCGTCGTAATGATGGCCACCATCGTAGGTGAAAATTAGGTAGTATCTTTCAAACCCGAACAGCTAGGTATGAGTGCACGCAGGGGAGGCAGAACTTATTGGATCAAGTATTTATTTGTGGGCAACCTTCCGACAGGTCTTTGTTATTCAAGCCGCACCCACCTAAAGCTTATTTGCTTCCTCAACAGAACCCCAACATTAACCTCGAATCACCCATACGTATTCGGGGTCTATATCCTCACAGATAGACGCTACTAGGAGGCAGAAAAGCGGTACCACATAATCAGGCTCTTTCTCCAGCTTGAATCCTACTGATATTTGCCCGCGGGTCCACCCCCACGAGAATCCGACTCCATGCTTGACACCACACGCCCTCCTAATCGTTTCCGTCAATCATCTCCACCATCCAACTCTGATAGATGATGGAGCGGTATAAACATTAAAAGTAATAAAGGCTGAATTCTCTCAGCTTTATGCGACACAAGAAAGGTTGGATATTACGGCACTTGCTACAGGGCGTGACCTCGATGCAATGCATGCAGAATGTAAAAGGAGATAATCCTCGAAAACCATGTCCTATGTACAGCGTGCAGATATTCCTGGCAACGCGGGAAATCTATAAGAGTGCGTTCAATGGATACGCAGATGCTGTTGCTGAAAACGCCGGCAAATGAAAGGAGGCAATTGTTTAAAACCAGATCTAAGTTGATACAGTATTAGGCTGTTCGCTTCGAATTGCTCTGTGCCAGTGCCGATTGAAATGCATCGAGTCGTTGAAATCGTTTTATGAACAGAGAGCTGTCATATTTCGCCGTGGGGGGTTAAACTCTTCACGGAGTCTTTCCTCGTTTCCTTGAATTCTCGTTGGTGTCCGATTCAAAGATAGTGCTCAGGCCGGCGAGAGACCAGGAGGAGCTAGAGGAATGGACAGCCACCAGCCAAGCAGCAGCGAGGTTGACTATATAATGAAGCATATAAGCATACGTAACCCCGTACACGGCGGAATATGCAGCGATGAAGAAGAGTAGTAGGCTTGTTACGTATCGTAAACGAGAGGTAACTCGAGGGATCATCTTCCCGCTGGTGAGAGTTTCGACTAAGAGGATAAAGGGCATAATGGATAGAACGTTATGGTGGGATGAGAAGGGTGTAAGCCAATGAACGGCAAGGTTGTGTACCCATACCACGAGGATTGGCAAGTTGATAGGTAAGATCCACAACATGAGTATAAATACGGAGTGGGCGTAGTTGTAAAAGTTGTAGTTGGTGTTGGATCGAGCTTCCCGGGCAAAGCGAAGTGCGCGAGAACAGGTGGCTATCTGAACAAGACAGGCGACGAGATAGGCAAATTGGTATGGAATTACCGTCGACACAAGGAACAACAGAATGGCCGTGGTGAGAACGCGCCTTCGTGGGGTAGATGGAGCGAAAGCTGGCGATGTGGCTCTTCTCTTGTCCTCATTCCTCAACCAAGCTGGTTTAGTGCTAACCCAGCTATACACGATACTGAAAACATAGGTAATGGCCAAAGTTGCGTAATGAACCATTACCACGACTCCAACGCACACCAGTCCTATGAGCGGTACCATAAACCAAAAAAATGGGTCCTGGGAGCCGACCAACAAGTCGTTCTTCGTGAAATCAACTTGTGATTCTGTGGCATTACCACGCCAGCCCCAAAATCCACCTGCAGCCCGGGGAGGAGCGGAGCTCGCCTGCGCGAAAGATACCGCAAGGCAGGTCAATGCAGCAAGCATAAGAGGCAGTGATTGTCGCAAACACATATCAAGACTTTCAATGAAGGACATGAATATTCCAGTCTCATCGTAGACTCGAAATTGCTTCCTCAACACCAATGTCACCACAAGCAACGGAAAAGCTGCGAATACTGTGCGATACCGCATGTAAAGCTTCCCCATGCTGCCGGGTACATCAACCTTGAGAGATATTTTAACGCTCGAGTTACAGGTTGGGTCAGTCCAGAATTGAAGGCTTAATCCATCCTGCACGGCCTTGTGCTTGAGTGGTGGAGGCATGAACGGCGAAACTCCATGCAGGTTGATATTTGCCTGTTTGACGTTCACGAAGTATTTCGACTCGTATGGATCTGAAATATACTGCCGAAGAAGAGGTGTAAAGAGTTCGGCGTCCTCACCACAGACTTGGTTGCCCATCTCAAGAGTGTAGGCAAGCAAGCTTGAGTGTAGGGCTGGGATCTTGACCTCTGCAACCATAGGCCGGTTAGGGGGGAGCTTAATTTTCATTCCGAAAGCCAACAATCGCCGAAGTCCCAATGAGCGCACGCGATGCGACTGGACGTTGTCGCTGAATTCGGCAATCACCCAACCAGGAGTTGGGTCGACTGCCTTATCGACAACTGCAACGAATTGATGCTCAAGAATGTCTTCCAAATCATATTGTAAATAGGAGAATGGCAGGACTTCCTCTTCTTCGTCCAAATAAAATGGCCGCTTTGTTGTTCTTGTTGATGCCGGAAGGGCAATGACATCCGACGCGGCGTTTTTGCAAGCAAGCCTCGTGGACCCGGAGGTATCACCTGAAAGATCCATATTCATCGAAAATAGGGTCGCAGACTGGCCAGGGTGGAGTGGAAAGACGCTGCAAAAGAGAACCTCCAGCTTGCCAGACTCTCCTGGCTTGTCCAGCTTCTGATCGGTCAAAAGTGTAAATCTCTTACCGCCAGGCGTGCCTTGAGGCGGAATGGGCAGAAGATGAGCGCGAGGCTTGTGAGACTCTCCCAACTTCCGCAGCGCTAAACGCTCTCCCTGAGGAATGATAGAGTTTGAGTTATCCTCAAGCGTAAGCAAGGTTGTGGGCTCTTTCTGAGAAAGTGTTTTCTCCGCGATGCTCTCCATCCCTGTCAGATACCACTTCTTAAAAATCCGCATTCTTTCCGCTCTTGGCTTTGTCTGAGCGGGTCGCTTAACATCGATAGCATCGTATAGCGATTGAACGACAACTTTGCGAAACTGGTCACACCACAAAATTGCTTGGTGATCCATCGAGGTCCAGACATTTGGAACCGAGGACGTGAAGACGGTGAAGCCGTGCGTGTCCGGAACCAACGATTCCAAACTAGCATAGTCGGAAGGCACAACGCTATCAAGACCACCTCCGGCGATGGAAATCAACGTGACATGCCATAATGGGTTGTTGTTTGCCCATTTCTGGGAATAAGCCTGCCTCCAATAATCGTTGATCTGTTTGTAAGTTCGGACGATTTCCGCATCGAATGAGACGGGAGGCCTTGCGTGCGGCGCAGACATAGTTATGATGGTATTGATCGAATTCGCTTGGTAATTTGGCATCACCAGCATTGTTCTGGCTACGATGCCGCCCATTGAGTGTCCTAAAATAATGACAGACGTTGGATCTGGCAGATCCGCGTCTCGCTCTGATCTGCGAGGATCATGGTATAAGGATAAAATATAAGCGATCGCTTCATTCAAGTATTCCGCTTGGTCCAGTAGTGTTTGCCCGTGAAACGCTGTTATATCCTCGTTGAAGTCAACCGTAAAGAAGTCCAGATTTCGAGCACCAGCGTCAATTGCTGCCGCGTCGTGTCTCAGGACATCGTGGAAATACGTCGCCCCTTCCGCTGCAATTGGGCGTACCTGCTTGTAGGAGCCGGCGTTTCCAGGTATGAATAATACTGGAACTCCTTTCACCTAAAAGAATTATACATGAGCACACTGCACCTCCTAGACTGGACGGCTCCATACCTTGGTGTCTTCATCGACCATACCCTCCCGATATAAATACACTGAATACTTGCTGGCAAAACGAGTGTGCTCCGTGTCAAAGTCCGAGAGCTTCGCAAAGGACGGCCTCATGTACGACATGCGGCATCCCTTCGTGTCGAGCTGTCGATTGGAAAACGAATGGATGATCGAGCCCAAGGCGAAAAGCGCTAAAACGGTGGTAACGAATGTGAGGAGAGATAATGACCACGGACTTCGCAGCCTCGAGCGGCGAGCATGCTGTCGAGCGTCTGCCATCTTGTCGGTGGCAGAGGCTTCCGAAGGGACGTTGATCAAAGATGTCTCCGTGTCTCCCTTTTTCTCTATTTGCCCATTTCGCGCGTCCCCCGGCCTCCAATTGGTGTTACTCGGGCGCCTGCTTCTGGCGGTCGACGGTCTCTGATCGGTACTTTTCCGGCGGTCGAGCTCGTGTGTGTGTTGTGAGATGATCTGGCGGGCGGTGGACCTGATGTTCCGCGAGTCTCTTTCTCTGGTCACCTCGTCGAGCTTCGAGCTGGCCCCTGCTCCAGCGAAGGGGGAGATGAGGTCTGCGGCATTCGCGAGGGGGGGAGGTACGGTGGAATCGTCGCCTTCTTCCTCTGCGGCGGATCCGGTTGATCTCCTCCTCATCTAACTGACGGCGACGTCGTCGTTGCGATGTCTGTGTCGAGTGATGCAGCAGGTTCGGGTTCGGAGGGGATGGGGGAGAAAGCTGGGCGCGAGCCTGGGAAAAGCGTGAGGCGTGGAGGGCCGGAGGTTCAGCGATAGGCGAGACGAGCCGCTAGGGGAACGGACTGTGGTGGGAGCACGCTGGTTGCGGTGCTAATTTCTCTGCTGGAAACGACGGTACGCAGTGGCCTCGACGACCACCAACAACGAATGTATGGGTTTGCGCAGCGGCTTCTTCAGCATTTATGATTTATATCAATGTGCGAGCGACGACAAGACCAAGCGGTGACGGGCCGGACTACGCCAGCGAGGTGGACATTAGTCGAGCCTCGCGCGCACAAGGGAGTGGGCGGGTGGAGGAGGGAGCAAGTAGAGAGGGAGAGGGAGAGACGAAGAAGAAAGAAGCTGGTCTGACGATGTATGGATGTATCGTCCTCGTTAGTGCCTTTGCAGCCTTTGCAGCACGCTTGTCGTGCAGCAGAGCAGCAGCAGCACTACTCGTACTCAGCCGGTGATGGTAACGTACTGTAGCGGCTACTGCACGGCTTGACAGAGTGACCTTACCTACCTAGGTCCTGTATGGAACCAGACTTTTCAAGGTCTGATGTCGCGAGAGACAACAAATTCATGCCGTGTACCACACAGTTACACCTCTTTCCAGGAGTTAACATTACCTAGGTAGGTGATGTGCGACACAACCACTGAGACTTACGGGTAAAGGGGATAGCATTTCATTCAATAATACTCGAGTACATCGCAAGCAAACCAGATACTGAACTAGCCCTAGCTACTACCTAGGTATGACAATGATAATGCAGATGGTGACGAGGGTGGGAGGAGGAGGAGGAAGAGAAGAGGAAGAGGCTCGCTTATTGTTGTTCATTCTGTCGTGATCTGTCTTGGATTCTTCCGCGCGTAGCAGGCGAATAATGCCTCTCCTCCATAGTACGGAGTAGTGGCCCTCTGACACGGTGGGTGCCATTGGAAAATAATGTTGGTGGCTGGGGGAGAGCTGTTTCTGCTATCCGACATGGAAATTACCTCAACAGCACCCTAGGTAGGTACCTACCTACCTACCGAACTAATCGTGTCGTATATACAACAAGTACCTAGGTAGGTACTCACGTAGGTATTCGGAATCCAAGTTCGCAAACAGAGTGGTTCTTTAACTCAACCATTGATGTCCAACTCCTTCGTGCGCCAGCCGTTGAAGACCAAGGAATCTTGGATAGCTACGGGAATGACAGAAAGAGGCCGAAACCTGGCAGTAGCGACCTACTAAGAGCTCATCACTCCTGTATTTGCTTTCCAGTTTCTCGTCCAGTTGGTCTTGACAGATACCTAGGTACCTACAGGTAGGTAGATTCAAGTCAACGCCACTTACATTTATCCTCGTCGGCGCATATGAAAAAGTCGTCCAATAAAACAACCCAAACGCTGCACTATCTCATATCTGCAGGATCTTCTGGTGTGCGAGTGTGGTTGCACAGATGTGACTTCGCAAACAAGGGGCAGCAGAGGCAGAGCGGCAGATAAGCTATGAATCGTCGACGACATCCGCAATTCAGATCCCCCACTTCAACAACACGTTGCCAAGAGAAAATCTCACGATGTCTGGATATCGGCATCTCGCACAGCTTCGCCCGCCTCAGACCAAGATGTATCTTTGGCATCGCGCCGCGTCAGAGGAAAGCTTGTTTCAAGAAGCAGGCGTGTCTTTCGCTTGGCAAAATCCAAGACGGCCCAGGCGGGCGCAACCATCTTAAAAAATTCCGTTTCAGAATTGCGATCGGAGAGACTAATGATATTCGGCTATGATAATGACCGGTGACCTCGAGCGACCATAAACTACAATACTCGAGTATCACCGTCACCTAGGTACCCCGCATGTTTACGTTCCTTGAAAAATGGCTTCAATCACACTATGGCTCAGCTCGGCTCAGCTCAGCTCAGCGTTGATGCCGATCTGCCCAGAATGCCGGGCATCAGAGCTGCCAACTTATTTGACTTTTGACATATTTGACATATTTGACACTTGCACTTCCAAGTTTTATCTCATGTCACATCCATTCTGCTACTTGAGATGGAAGGAGTCGAGGCGAATCCCACATAAGTTCAACAAGACTTTGTACCCGGTCTTGAAATTCGCCTTGACCTTGTTGAAACCCTTGCAAGAGTTCTTGATGGCTGTCTGTTGCTTACAGGAGAATCCGGCTACCAACTCATTCCTGAACATTTTGAGCCCAGGTAAATACTTGAGCCCAAGTAAATCTATACTAGAAATCTCAACAATATTGGTGGTTGTCATGTATCCGTCCGATCGTTGGCGCAGTCGCGGAAAGCTTTCTGGTATAGCTCACTAATACTCGGACTTCTGACCAGTTCGAATCCCCAAGCAGGTCTCACGATCTTGGATGGGCCCGTCAAGTAAATGCGAAATGTTTGGACAAACCACCTCTAACTCACTGTTTGATAGATCGCGGAGTCAATTCCGAGACACGTGATTCTACCCCTCTCCCTCGAGGCAAAGAGTAATACCAAGGAGTACATTGATGTCCAATTCTTACATCGATTTGAGGTCTCTCGGTGAGCTCTAATACAACTGTCAAAACGACTCTGTGTTCGAAATAACTTTGTCGTGGGTCAGAATAACGAATGGGGAAGTTGCCGCTCAGCGTCGAACCCAACTACGAATAACATCGAGAACACCTCGTTGTTCTTCTCCCAAGGCCAAACTAACGACTAGAGGAGGCCTGCCGTCACCTCAATCTGATCCGAAGCAATTCATCGCAATTGAAGAAGAGAAGATTCGCATATCACAAAAGTCGACAACAGATCCTTGTGGCCAACATGACTACCTCGACCGCCTCTGGCTCTCGTCTTGCAGGAAAGGTAGCAATAGTGACAGGCGGTGGTTCTGGATTTGGTGAAGCCATCTCTAAACGTTTCTCCGATGAGGGTTGTAAAGTTATCGTCGCCGATATGAATCCCGAAGGCGGTGGCAGAGTTTCCCAACACAACAAGGACAACATGCATTTTGTGCAGATGAATGTCGCTAAGAGCAATGACTGGGAGAGCTGCCTCAAACAATGCATTGGCAAGTGGGGGAGAGTGGATGTGGTGGTCAATAATGCAGGAACGAGTTATCCAAATAAGGTATGCCGGGGACAGATTCGACGGAATTACTGCAATATTCAACCCCATGAGTAAGACTAACAATTGTCAGCCGACGGCTGAAGTCACAGAAGACGATTTCGATAAGGTCTTCGCCGTGAATGTAAAAAGCGTGTATCATTGCTCAGCCATCGTCATTCCAACACTCATAAAACAAGGTAATGGAGGTTCGATTATCAACATTGCTTCAATTGGAGCGACTCGACCACGCCCTGGACTCGTTTGGTATAATTCTAGCAAAGCCGCAGTCACAAATGTGAAGTCGCTCTCCTCGAAATGTTTGCAATAAAGCTGACCGCAGGAAAATCCAGGCAACTAAAGGTCTAGCAGCTGAGTACGGCAACAAGAATATTCGAGTCAATTCTATTTGTCCTCTTTTGAGCGCTACGGGCTTGTAAGTGTTCATACTATACCATCCAGGTCTCGCCCAATCCTTGACTTGCTGTGAGCGCTAACATGTCGTCAGATTTGAAACATTCGTAGGCGTCCCGCCAACCGAAGAAAACTTCAAGAAGTTCTTGTTCAATGTTCCACTGGGAAGACTTACAGATCCTTTAGATATTGCAAACTATTCTCTGTTTTTGGCAAGTGAGGAAGCGAAGTTTATCACTGGTACTTGTCTCGAAATTGACGGAGGACGAGGGATTTGAAGCTGTTGCCGCGTAATAGTATCAAGTGTTGTTGCTAATAACTTTTCCCTCAAATCGAGTATGTACTCTATGGAAATTCCAGATTATCTGATTAGTGTCGTCTCAGCACATACTTCAAATAGTAGCCTACCAGGATAACGGGATTCGAATGTGTTCTCTGAGCTAGTACCCTGGGCTCTTGCCACCTACTATATCTACGACTGTTTCAATCTAACGATTTCTATCTTACATAAGTAAAGCTTTTAATCGAAAGACAGATTGCTTGATTTGTTGAGATTAAAAATTTTACTTTCTAAGGATAACTAGATTCACAAATGCTTCGACTCATATGTAAACTCAAAGTCCAAGTAAAGATATTCTTCCATTTCTAAGAGTATTGACGTACGATGCGGATTAATGCCAGGGCAGAAATTTCTTCTGTCAAAAGGAGAACAAGACTTCGCTGGAGTTGAAGTGCTCTACTTCGAGACTAGTTAGCAGAGGTTCTTCGGGTAGCTACTAATATGTATAATCATACATCCTAATGTTTTCCCATTCAAGTAAGGTGTGGTAAACATCAACAATGATATAAAGGGAAAAGGGTACTATTGGAAGCTGTATAGGTGAAACTTGCTAGAAGTGAAACCCATCATCATGTTTCATTGAGCGCCGACTTCAAAAGGTTCAGGTTCTTCGCATCTTATATATGCTCCACAAACATCAATCATCTTTACTAGATGTCAATTGCCCTCTTAATGGTTAAGGCTGATGTTAGCGACTTTGGTGATTCAAGTTCAAATTGGGGCTCTAAGTTGAAGCCAATTCGTGCTTAGACGCCATTAACAATTACAATCTATCTGGTTGCTGTCCGGTGACGAATAACTGTCGGTCTCAGAACTCTACCGGCCAGTTGAGTCCTACCCAGACAGCCGTTCTCAATGCTGAATATGACAGCTTCTCTCAGTAACATTCACATTGGGCGTCGTTTGCAAAATATTCAGCAAGAGGAAAATAATCCAATCACCCTTAGAGGCAACACATCTTGCATAAAAAAATCTCTTACTACCATTCTACTGCTTTCAAGACAATCCCCTGAACCACACCATACCTCCTTGCGGTCAATCAACCTATCTAACTTCGACGAAGAGACCATCCAACCTTTCGAGACTTCCGCATCTCCAATATGAACAATCACTACAGTAGCTTCTCGCCCAAGGAGTACCGTGCACATTTTGATCGACCCCCAAATTTCTCTCGTCCTCTGAATGAAGCGCAACTAGCTACGAACATACATGGGGGGAGAGAAGCACCCACAAACCCGCAGCTTAGAGCGACTCGACCACCATCTGGTACCTTGCACCAGAGAAGACACCACCCAGCAGTGGTCTCTCAGCAGAGCAGTAGAGGTTCTGGAAGTAGTCTATCTAGTAACCGACCACTTCCACCTCCACCGTCTCAAGCTCGGCAGTGCTTCGACGATCCACTGCCAGGACCGCCAGGATGGATTTGAAGAAGTATTGTTTACCACGTCTGTATGTCTTTCAAACCCTTCTGGTCAACTTGAAGTAGGTAGAAAGTAACTTGAGAATGAGAATACCCAAGATCCTCGAAATGTACGACTGGTCCTAAGCAATATTCTGAATATAAGTGAGAACACACTCGAAAACCAGAGGCGATTTCGATTAGAGATCTAAGCATCGTAAAAATCATCAAGCAAGCAGCTGCCTGTCCACAAGTTGCATTTTCAGTCTTTAAAGTAGAGTCGATACAGAGCTGTTTTCTGGTACAAAATCGCGAACTATGCATTCAGTACAAAACAACGACCCGCAAAGGAAGATGCTAGAGGTAATAACGTTGCAATCTGTCCTAGTGGTATAAACCCAGCAAGGGCATGAATTGTTGCGATGGACGACGGATTGTGACACGCCATCTGATCGTGCTAGTAACCAAATGCAAAGGTTTGACAGCGTAACAAAGTGGTTGGAGTTTTAGCGATAGCTGAAAGACACGTGAATAATTAGTGGACAGTGGCTGTGGCGACATTTGTCATAGCGACTCAATCTTTTGAGCTGTCTGATACGATAAATTTTCAGCAAGCCCAAGAGAGAAGGCCGCCATGATTTCATCCTCGTACGAAGCTGTCCGCATGAAGACCACAACAGCTGCATTCGCCGCAGACTGCAAATTCGAACTGTATTAGACTTCTTGAACTGATGCCTTGACGGTGTTCGAAGGCCATTGGGTATTCGCGATGTTGAAAATTCATAACAATGATCTTGTCTAAAGTGGTATATATCCGACCGAGCTTTATGCATGCTTTGATGTAATTATCATCCCTCATAGAAGTGCTCTCCATGTAAAGCATTATCCTCTAGACGCCATGCCTATATTTCTACAAGATCCCATTTCGATTAACACCCTAGATATAGATGACTAATCCATAGACTCCGCTAACGTCTCATCGACATCCTCATATTCATCACTCGAGCCCTCCTGCTTGCCTCGAGTATGCTTACTTGATTCCTTTATCACCTTGGCATGGTTATTGTTGATGATTTGGCCACCTTTTGTGCCAAAGAAGTCGGACGTTCGAATTCCTCGGACTGAATCTGCCCTCACACCTGCCATGGCGACACCTTTCTGTCTCTGTTCTCTGATATACTCACGTACTGGCGCCATGGCTGCATCCCTACAGCTTTCCTTGATGTCGCTTCCAGACATGCCAGCCATGACACGGGTTACATAGTCCATGTCAAAATTTTCTGTGTCTATTTTAGTGTCTTTCAACAACAACTGCAAGATTCGTAATCTTTGTGTCCTCGACGGTAAAGAAACCGGAAACTTTTTGGGCATTCTTCGAAGGATTGCTTCGTCAATATCTTGTATTCTGTTCGTAGCGCCAAGTATCATAATTCTCGCTGGTAGTCCACTTTCACTAGCGGAAGTAAGACCGTCCCATAGAGTCATGAACCTGTACAGAATTAGCGCCACGGTTTGATTAAATGTTTGAAGACTTACTCTGCCTTCACCATTCCACTCGCCTCATGCTCTCCACTACGCCGCTGGCCAAGCACAGCATCGATTTCATCGATAAAAACTATTGTAGGCTGTAGCTTTCGGGCGAGAGAGAATACGGCTCTGACTAGCTTGTTTGAATCCCCATACCACTTCTCGGTCAACGTTGAAATGTGCAGGTTGATAAAGCAGGCTCCACTCTCATGAGCCAGGGCTTTTGCCAACATTGTCTTACCACATCCGGGAGGGCCATATAGCAACACACCGGAGGGCGCCGAAAGTAAGGAAGAGGTTTGGGCATATAAGTGCGGCATGGTTAGGGGATATATAACGGATTCCTTTAGTTCCTCGATAATATCTTCGAGCCCACCAATATCTCCCGCAAGTTAGCATGGTTTGCTTCGATTCAAGATGATACTCCAAACGTACCGTCGAACCCCACAGGTATGTCTTCAGGAGCTACAACTTCCAAAGCTATCTGACTTTCATATTGATCTAGCTCCAAGTTTTCTTTCCTCGGCCGTTCCTTTCCGTTGCCTCCACTGGTGGACTCGTCGTCGGAGTCAGAATCGTCCCGAGGTCTATTCAGTCTGCGAAGGTTTGCGGTCGCTTTTACTCGCGCCTGCTCATGTTGCTCCTTTTCAGGATCACCGACACCCATGGGAAGACTGGAAACGACGTTCTGCGCCAGATACCACATGCCACCTAGCTACTCGTGGGTCAGCTTCCATACGCGCGCAGAATCCTATCGAGATATGGTGGAGCAGACGTTCTTACAGAAACAGCAAGAAGGAAGAGATCCTGTAATAGGCCATACTTCCGCGAAGGTGCGTCCACCATCCTGGATGGGAGAGAGTTTGCGAACTAGTTATTTGGGCGGGTATTATGATGAATGCGACTATGAAGTTTGGGGGACTCAAATATATGGCGATGATGGCTGGCACATGCAGGTGCGGTTGAAATTTTGTGGCGAATGCTGAGGCTACTGTGGCTAGTGACACGTACCCCGGGTGGGGCTCCAGCTGGCTGCATCTGTTCTCCCGTCGAGCCGACCTCGGGTCGGGTACCTGGCCAAATTATGGATCCTCGCCCGTTCTCGGTTGGTCTTTAGAGTCAAACGGGATACTCTCGGCAGCCGGGAGCAGAGTCGGAGGTGCTCACAGGTGCGGGACAGCCGACTGAGGTGTCACGTGGGTGTCCCGACTTCCATGTTTCACCCTTGGAATGGAAAGGGGAGAACCTTGAGCTCGCTAAGCATGAGACGAAAAGGGGAAAACGCACCGTTACAGGTTAACACTGAATATTACCTACTGTACCTTAGGTACAGTGCCTGCGTACCTACCTAGGTAGGTACCTAGATAGTCAGGTAGGTAGGACCACTTGCATTAGTCTTTCTGTCGCGATTAGGACTTTACGCTGTGTAGTCCTCTGGGTCGCTAGCGGAGGTGACATGTCGGGTGTTAAGAATATCTCTACGCCAAAACACCTGCCCTAGATCTCAAAGGCGCCCGCTTGGTAAGGACAGTTGTTGCTCATTCCTGTGTACTTTACGGCTACCTAGACTGGGTACCTACGCTATTACCGCTTGTTAGGATCATCCCTATGAACTTTGAAGCTCTCGCGTTGGGTGTATTGAACACTTAAAACATCTTGAATTATGCCCTCGGACTAGAATAGCATATCTTCGCAACCTCCTGGGGTAGTTACTGGTTGCCCTCCTACGAAAGGACGTCTTCCTTGCTGTTCTTCACCAGAGTTTGGCTCTAGCACGAGGCTTTGAGGCTGTGATGTTGGAAATATATGCCTTTTTAATGCATCGTACAAGTGAAGTCCCTAGATCCCAGCACCTATCCCCCAGATCGCCCTGCAAAGAAGATCAATCTGCACAATATATACCAGTGCCCTTCGATCCGGTCTGATGAATTCGGTCCTCTCACGATAACTCAAGAAAACCGCTCGTCGAAAGGCACAAATATTCCCGTTTACCTCGTAAAGGTTGGCCCATCATGGAGGATTTCAATCCCATCTCGTTTGAGGATCTTCGCCGAGTCATTGTTACCCCACCACCATCGGAATCGGACTCCGGTAGAAGCTCGGCCCGCTCTAGCTACCAGAGTAGCATAACCGTCGTCTCTAGCAACGGCGAAGTAAATAACGACGACACGATTTATGTGCCAAACGCAACTGCATCAATATCACCTCCATTCCTTTCATCGCCCCCTAGGAGTGTTGCCAAATCCCGTCGAGATCGTGCATCATTACAAAAAGAAGCCAACCGCTCAAAGAAGTTCACAACTCGTCTCCAGCGAAGTGCCAGCGAAAGTGCCGCTGCCGCTGCATGTGCCCCTGCAGCTTCTACCGATTCCAGCGGTGAACTCCTCACAGGGAGAAGGAGAAATCGCTTCCACAATCGTAGCTCTGCAAGCCTTCCCGCAGACCACGGGTTAAAGGCGATTGAACCATTGCATGAGCATGTTATGACCAAGATGGCATTTGCGGAGCAACAGAAATGGATCACAGTCCAGCAGAAGACATTTACAAAATGGTAGGACAGCAGCACAGAGAGACAATTAAGGAAGAAAATGTTGCTGATGTTAATGCAGGTTAAATACTAAGATAGAGCCACGAGATCTGGCGGTGGTAGATCTCGTGAAGGACCTCAGCGACGGCGTACGTTTTCTTACTTTCCTGCTGCGTTTCGACTTCGTACACTAATGTTGAACCCCCAGGTCATATTAATACATCTTCTCGAATGCCTCTCCAACGAATCCCTGGGTCGATACGCAGCAAAGCCTAAACTCCGAGTTCAGCGATTTGAGAATGCCAATCTTTCATTAGACTTCATCAAGTCTCGCGGGATCCAGATGACGAATATAGGCGCGGAGGACGTGGTGGATGGAAATCGAAAGATTATTCTTGGACTTATCTGGACTCTCATCTTAAGGTTCACAATATCTGATATCAATGAGGAGGGTATGACGGCGAAGGAGGGCCTGCTTCTTTGGTGTCAGCGGAAAACCGCTTGCTACGATGAGGTAGAAGTACGAAACTTCACAGATAGCTGGAACGACGGGCTTGCATTCTGCGCCTTGCTAGACATCCACCGGCCCGACTTGATTGATTACGACTCTCTCGACAAAAACGACCATAAAGGCAATATGCAACTTGCCTTTGACCTCGCATCCAAAGAAATTGGGATCCCGGCTCTACTAGATGTCGAAGATGTGTGTGACGTGGCGAAACCAGACGAGAGGAGTTTGATGACCTACATAGCGTATTGGTTCCATGCCTTTTCACAGATGGAGAAGGTGGAAAACGCAGGTCGTAGAGTTGAGAAGTTTGTCAACAATATGCAGGGTGCATGGGAAATGCAAAGCGGTTACGAGAGGAGGGTTCGACAACTACTCCAAAACATCAAGGAGCAAGACGAAAGATGGCAAGCGGCCACCTTCGAGGGAACTTATACCGACGCTAAAATGCAAGCGGCAGAGTTCAGCGGATACAAAAGGGGGAAGAAGCGAGAGTGGGTGGCCGAGAAGAGCGACCTCGCGGCTCTGTTAGGCAACATCAAAACCAAGATGAGTACCTACCGACTGAGAGCTTATGAGCCGCCTCCAGACTTGAGATTAAGCGTACTGGACAATGAATGGGCACTTTTGATGAGGGCTGAAATGGCTAGGGGGCAGTTGATAAATGAGACCATTAGAGAGTAAGTGCACGAGTTACGGAGTGAGACTGAACCTAACTGTGTGCAGTATCAAGAATGCCTTGAGAAAGTCTTTCGCTGACAAGGCCAACGATTTCGCCCTAGCATTAAACACAATGCAGCTAGCTATTTCCGGGCTAGAGGGCGATGTGGAGGACCAATTGACTCACGTGCGACGACTGAGTGATAATTTATCACCGCTTAATCAATATCTGGAGAAAATAGCCGAGGTTGACCAAAAATGTGAAGAGGCAAACATAGAGGAGAACGACTTCACTACATATACTTATGATGAATTATCGTATGAACTCGGCCTTGTCAAAAACTCCGTACTGAAAAAGCTCGCATTCCTTGACAATCAAGTCGTGGCGCGAAATATGACGAACCTGACGCCAATCCAGTTGGAAGAGTTCGAGAGTGTGTTCAGACATTTTGATAGGGATGCCACCAACAGTCTTCAGGAGCTGGAATTTAGTGCTGCGTTGGCGTCACTTGGACTTGTATTCAGTGAGGATGAAATGCACGAATCCTTCTTCGAAACTTCGCATGGCAGGGACCACGTAACATTTGAACAGTTCATTCGTTTCATGGTGGACGTCACAGAGGACCAAAACACCGCAGAGCAAGTTTTTCAAAGCTTCCGCGAAGTCGCCGATGGGAAACCTTATGTCACCGAGATGGATCTTCGGCACAGTTTAGTACCCGACGATGTCATCGAGAAGCTGACCTCAATAATACCGCCACATAACGGTCCCGATCTTCAGGAAGATAGGGGCATGCCACAGTACGACTACATTAGCTTTATGGACAAATTGGTCTCGGTTTCCAATGATACGCAAGATCCCTCACCTGCCTTGACAGATGTCTCAAACGGCCGGGGATTACAGCGTACCGAGTCGCCCACCAAAATGAATGGCTATCATTAAAGCCGCAGTGAGGACAGCCGGTGATCTTATGAATCATCCGATGATAGATTGATTGTGAAAAGATGTTACAAATGAGACGGGTCTTATGTACACGGTGTTTCTGGAGGTACGGTTCGGTCTTAGCATCATTGATGGTTTGGCAATGGCGTCAATCAACTTACTCACGCTTATTCTTCATTCACATACATTATCGATAAATGTAGTAGTACTGCTTGTGGGTTAAGGAATGCCCTGTTGTCTATTATTTTATACCAAATCATATACATCTTGATTACTTAATACGTTAATGCGATCGTTACAAAGGTCATTCGAACCTCGTCGCACATATGCCTTTTCCCAAGATAATTTGTCTACTATATCACAGCGATTAATTTTATGACGATGTTTCTAGAATACGTCAATAATCCATTAAGGGGGCTTTAAATATTTGACAACAGCTTGATGTCGATTTACGAGTGTAACTTTCATCGTAGTATCGTACGAGTGCAGTGTATTCATAACACAAATACCTAATTCACCCTCAATGAATTAATCCCGCCAATTCAGAACAATGCACATATGTATAAGATTTCGACCATTATCAAGACCGTTACAGAATAGTGTGTTTCTGAGTCCTTCACACTTCCTATTGATTAATTGCCAAATAGCATATCGTTCGTTCCCACCTCTAGCAATTAACAAATACTATAAGTCTGTGAAACTGTTTGTGACCAAATAAGGCAGTATAGATGCCAGCTACCTCTCCAAACTTACAGTGGCTATTAAGAAAATTTGCATGAAGTTAGCCCTGGTTTTTCTTCACAACTTCAACAACTTACTAGTTTTATTCGCAATACCCCTTGAACCACTATTCGGCGTCTATCATGAGCTGTACATGCAGGTTTACTTCTATTCCAAGCTTTCTGTTCTTGAATCTGGTATGAAAGCATTCGGTTTGTATTCCGTAATCAAAATCTACTGATTATCTATATCGGAATCCGAAGCATCTAGGTATTACAATATCTCCTACTGAACCAAACTCGAAATTCAATTTCCTACAAGCATAATTCTACCAACCTTGAGCTCGTATTTTAAGTCGTGCGTATTGGCTAAGCGTCTCAATATTTAGACTGAAAAGCTGCCACTACAATTGGAGATTTAGATAGAAGTAGTCGAGCTCCTGCCCTTCGCGTTTCCACTCTTCTACTTCATTATATTGTAAATTCTGTTGTGAGGTTCTGTATAGCCTCTAGAATACGTCGAATTTAGATTATTTAGATTATTTAGATTATTTATTAGATTTATTGTTTTTGTTATTTCTATTAGTCTTATTAATATTATTAGTATTATTAGTTTCTTTTATATTTCTATATTACTATCTAGTATTTAGTTTTTAGACTTAGTTCTTTTAATATTTAACTTTATTTATTTATAATAGTAGGTTAGCTTTTATCTATCTTATTTTATTCTTTATTTATATATTAAGAATAAAATAACTTATAAGAGTCGAAACTAATATTACTATTATCTAGCTTAATATAATATTATTATTTATTATCTTAAGTTCTTTAAATAATAAAGTTATTAAAATACTAAATCTTAATTACTTATATAGTATAGTATAATTATTATAATCTTTTAGATTGTAATTTAAGTTAGTAGATAGTTTAATTTTTTTATAAGATTTACTATTATTATAACTAATTAAGATTAATAGTTAGTAAAACTAGTAGAACTTTTAGTAATAAGACTAGTATAACTATTTTTAGATTATAAGAAAATTAGAGTATTATTAAATAGATTTTTAAAAGAGAATAAGAATACTATAATAGAGATATAAAGTAAAGAGCTAATAGATAAGGTAAATAAAGAGTTATAGAAGTTAGAGAAAGTTTACTATTATATAGTAAAGAATAAGTTAAAAAAATATATATTTAGTTTAAGAAAGAAGTATAAAAAGAGATATTTTCTATTAATTTAAATCTTTCTAGATTTAAATAAAGTTAAATAATATAAAGAAAATAAGTTAAAAAACCTAGCTTATAAGACTTAAAGTAAAGATAAAAGAGATTTAATCTATATAAATATACTTATAATATAAGTTAGAAATAATAGAAAAGATATTTAAATAAATATCTTTACTTAAACTCTTAAAGTACTAAGTAAAGATATATCTTTTACTAAGACTATACTATAAATTAATATATTTATTATAGATTATCTTTTTAGTAATAAGCTAGAAAGAAGAAAAGATAAGAGAGTAATAACTACTAATATTTAACTAGCTATAAAAATAATTAAAGATTAAATTATACTATAAGCAATAATAAAGCTATTTTTAATTAAATATAAAATATACTTAAGTAAAGTTACTAGAACTCTTAAAAAGAAAATATAGTATAATAAATTATTAACTTTAACTATTTCTTATATCTTTATAGTTATTAATAAAAGTAAAAAGATAAAAGATATTAAATAGTTTAAAGATTTAAGTTTAAAACTATTAGAAAATATACTTTTAAAAGATTTATTAAATAGAAATAAAGAGTTAGATTTAGATATATATTTTAATTAAGTATTTAAGAAGTAAAAAGAGTTAGAGTAAAATAAAAACCTACTACTTAGTATTAATAGTAAGAATTTTAAGAAAAAAGAGCTAACTAAAAAGAGTTCTTAAAATAAATACTTTAAAAATATTATTAGTATTAAGATTATTTATAATTCTATATTTAAGACCTTTAAGAATAGTAGCTTACCTTTAGTTAAAGCTATAAGTAGAGATAAGATTACTAAAAGTAAAAAGAGAAAAAAAGTAGTTAAACTAAATGTTAGTTTTATATATAATATATAGTAATAAATACTTATATTATTCTCTTTCTATACTTAATTAGGTTAAGGCTTAGTAGTACTATAGTTTAAACTAAGCCTACGTATTCTTATTATTTCTATTTGTTAGAGATAAGAATAATAATATAGTAAGCCTTAGTAATTTAGCCGGCATATAGGTGTATATAGCGCTATTTAATCTAATAGGCTACTTTATATAGTATAGATATTAGCACTTATACTATAGGCTAGTTAGATATCTAAAGATATCGGTAGTTATACTATAGGTTAATTAAATCCCTCAAGATATCGGCAATTATACTATAGGTTAATAGTTTAGCTTTAAAGCTTACTAATAACATATTCTAAAGTTTATATATAGTTAGAAATCCCCTCTATAGTTTTAAGTTCTTTAAGTAAAATATATACTTTTTATATATTATTAAGTTATCTAGTCTTTATTACGCTTTATCCCAAATTTTACCTTCTATAACTATTAAATAAAGCTTTATACGGCTTAAAGTAGTCGGCTAGAATCTAGTACTTTACCTTAGTAGATAAACTAAGAGAATTCGGTTATAAACCCTTAAAAACCGAATCTTGTATATTTACTAATAATACGATATATATATATATATATACGTAGACGACTTAGCTATAATCGGTCCTAATAAGGACGATATATAAGATCTTATTAATAGTATTAAAAAACACTTTACTATTAAAGAACTAGGTTTAGTAAAGGACTACTTAGGAATCGATATTATTCGAACTAAGGATTCCTTAAAACTAAGTCAAAGTAAATATATAAGTAAGGTCTTAGAAAAATATAATATAACTAATTATTACCCTATATATACACCTATAGATTCTAAGCTAAAAATAATCCCAAATACCGAAATAGCTACTAAAGAAGATACTAAGCTATTTTAAGGTATTATAGGTAGCCTATTATATATAGTACTAGGTACTAGACCGGATATAGCTTATTCTACTATTAAACTAGCTAGATTCGCTAGTAATCCTAGTAAAGAACACTTTACCGCTATTAAGAAAATACTAAGATATCTAAAAGGCACTATAGATTATAGTATTACTTATACTAAATCTAATCCTTATCTTAGTAGCTATTGTGATTCTAACTACGCCAGAGATATATATACCTCTAAATCTACTACCGGGTATATATTTTACTTAGGCGAAGGGCCTATAAGCTAGAAATCTAAATTATAGTCTATAGTAGCTTAAAGTACTACCGAGGCCGAGTATATAGCTATAAATACTGCCTCTAGAGAAGCTATATATATAATAGCCTTAGTTAAAGAACTAGGCTTTTATAAACAAAATAAGTTCCCTTTATATACCGATAATAACGGGGCTTTACTATTAGGGTATAATCCTATATACTACGAACGTACTAAACATATAGCGGTCAAATACTACTATATAAGAAGTCTTATATTAGAAGGTATAATAGACTTAATCTATATACCTACTAAGGATTAAAAGGTAGACGGATTTACTAAGCCTTTAGATAAAGTCAAATTTAAGGAATATCTTAAACACCTTAGTTATAAGATTTAAGAAAACTAAGAATGTATAAGGTAAAATTTAGGATAAAGCGTAATAAAGACTAGATAACTTAATAATATATAAAAAGTATATATTTTACTTAAAGAACTTAAAACTATAGAGGGGATTTCTAACTATATATAAACTTTAGAATATGTTATTAGTAAGCTTTAAAGCTAAACTATTAACCTATAGTATAATTGCCGATATCTTGAGGGATTTAATTAACCTATAGTATAACTACCGATATCTTTAGATATCTAACTAGCCTATAGTATAAGTGCCGATATCTATACTATATAAAGTAGCCTATTAGATTAAATAGCGCTACACACACCTATATACCGGTTAAATTACTAAGGCTTACTACATTATTATTCTTATCTCTAACGAATAGAAATAATAAGAATACGTAGACTTAGTTTAAACTATAGTACTACTAAGCCTTAACCTAATTAAGTATAGAAAGAGAATAATATAAGTATTTATTACTATATATTATATATAAAATTAACAAAATACAACCTTAAAAAAAAAGGTTTAACGTTATAAATATCTTTATTAATATAATATAGAAGAAAGATAAAGACTTAGTATATTACTACTTACTACTAGAATTTAAG